ATATATATATATATATATATATATATATATATATTTTTAACATGCTTACGATGGGTGGAATCGAATTCAGGTTTAAGGGGAGAGAGAGTGTACTTTTTTTTTAATGTGGCTAATATTATTAGAGTCGAAGAAGTTGTATGGCCTAAGTGACCACTTAATTACTGGTTAAAAGGTATCTTACCTTTGGTGTAGGGTTCAATTCTCATCCCTTCTCGTATTCCCCCGTTATGGCTGTAGCTACCGTTACCTAAAAGGGCAGTCGGTGGATTACATCATTGTCTAGGTTTAATACCTCATATTAACAATTTTAACTTTATTAACCTCTAACCATTGTCTTTGTTAAAAAAAAAAAAAAATTATCACTAGAGTCGAATAGGAGGTGAGTTGCCAAAATATGTAAACTCTATTACAATATAATATTTCAGGAAAGTAAAGATTTCTGATTCCTACAAACTGCTCCGCTGTTGTGCCCATTTTTAGATGAAAAACAGAAGGGCCACATTCCACGTTGGTATATACATCCAAAGCAAACACGTCAAGCTTCTAGAAGCCATATGGATACAACACGTACTGCTTTCGGCTTGCTTAGCCAATTAGCCTACGGTATTTCGGCCATGGCCCATGGGTGCCCACGGTATCCGAATGGCATCAACTCAACTAGTAGTACCACAACAAAAAAATGATAGAAGGGAAAAAAAAATAGTAAATCTTCTAGAAGGTTTTAAATCAATAGCACCATAGCGTGCCGACTTGGTTTGATACCGGCGGGATTAATTTTGGGGTAAGTGGTATGTTCATGAATGGAGAATAAATGCATGCATAGTGTGACATGAGATAAGCTCTAAATATATTTTGAGAAAATTTCAACATTAAATTATGCTAAAGTGGGGTTTGAAATTACTAATGACAACTACTTAAGAAAAGAAATATATATCTCCCAATCTATCCACAAAATAAAAGCAAATTAATGCTGATGATGTAGCAATATAAGTTGGAAAAAAAAAAAAAAAAGAAGAA